GTGTGACTTTGAAGTTCCACAGGCTTGAAGACCCATGCTTGTCACATTTTCTGAAAATCCATGATACGTATATTTTATTATTAAAAATTGATTGTCGTTATGCTGGTAACCATTATGTAATATTGCATCAGAATAGAAGAAAACACAATTTTGGGTGCTGCTGCCATGATGACCATTATGGGAAAACCATGTTACTTATGATTGCCAAACTTTCAAAAAAGAAATACAGGACTAAAATGCAGCCTGAGTTGGAAAAGCAGTCTAATTGACTTCTTTTTCTGGAAGTTTTACATTTTCAAAGGGTGAACTTGAACTCCCATGGGCCTGAAGCCTTATGTTTGTTACACATTTTACTTACATGGTATTACCTGTTGAGCATAATTAGAATTTGATGTTGAATTTGCAGTTTAACATAATGTACTTTTGCATCAGAATTGACAGTAGCCTATTTTGTTATTTCCTGCTTTTTGTCTGTACATTTGACAGCTTTGCTGCCTTGTTTTTTCTTTTGAGTTTGTATAAGAGTTATAAGTTACTTTATAAAATAGTAAAGAAAATTAATGAAATGATAAAAGTCCTTTGTGTTTTGAATGCCAGAACACATTCAAGGTTTCAGTCAAAACACTTCATGTTACCACGTTCCAGTATGTTGTAACAGTATTAGAAAACTTTCACTTTTGTTGAATTATAAGATAAATAAAATTTGTCTGCATTCCAGGATTGTTGTAAACTTATTACAGATCTTCCACTTTTGGTAAGTTACTTGATATTTAAAATTGACTATATTCCAGGATTATTGTGACAGTATTAGAAGCCTTCCACTTTGACCTGTCCAAGAGCAGAGGCATAGCTGGGGCAGTAGTCACAGAGCCCAGCAAAGATCAGGAACTTCCTTTGGAACAAGATGCGGAGGAGGAAAAAGAGGATGCTGATCTGGATGAAGACTTAGTACAGAATCAGGCAGAGGAAGTGAGCCCTGCAGTTGACAGTGTTGAGTCTGTGTTAGAGTCCCAGAAAAGTCCATGTGCTCCAGGTCTTGCCTCCAGGATACACAGGATGATTGTGAGGTCCATTCTACCAGAGTTGCACAGATGTTTGACTAAGAAGGTATGAATAGATCTGGTTTAGTAGTCATAGATTTAAAGATAATAGTCCTATATACACTAGTTTTAATGTGAAGACAAATAAGATTTGCTTTGCAGATGCATATTTGAATACATGAAGGATTACATGTTTATTGGACCTGTGTAAGTTCATAAGTATCTTGATCATATAAGTGGTATTTTTTTTCATAGTTTTGGTGTGAGAGCTTTTCAAACTCAGTGATTAGATGATTAAGATAGAAATAATGCATTGGATGTTTCTCCTTTCCCTTCAGACAAAGAGTGATGAGGAGCATAAACTTGCCCAACCCACAAAATATGCAGAGGATGAGGAGGTACTGAGGGTCCCCATTGCTTTGGCCATGGTCAAACTGCTGCAAAACCTACCAAAGGGTACCTTGGAGCATTCTTTGCCAAGGTAAAAGATGTGTTGATTTGGATATTAACAGGAAGCAAATCTTAACAATTTAAATAACCCCTTATTTTTCCCACTTTCAGATGACTTATACAAGTAAATGAATTGTTACAATTTACATTTTTTTACTAAGTCTTGTACTTTTTTTTTAGTTTGCTCATCAAGGTGTGTGAGTTTCTTCGATCCAGATCAAAAGACATTCGCAACATCACCAGAGATACATTAGTCAAAATTGTTGATTCACTGGGACCCAGCTTCTTCCACTATGTCCTGAAAGAATTGCGAGGTGCTCTTACGAAAGGTTATCAGTTGCATGTGCTGTCTTTTACTGTGCACTCTCTCTTAAAAAGTATGACAGCAATTCTCCGACCTGGGGATTTAGATAACTGTGTTCAGAGCCTAACTGAGGTGAGCTTGATTGAATTTATTAATTTTTTTCTTAAATTATTATTCATTTCATATCAACAAAAATGTTGTTATTTATTTATTTATTTATTTATTTATTTTAGTTTCAACAAAATTGTAGTCACTTGGGGAAATGTAAGAAAAATATTATTCCAAATGAATGAACTGGAATGTTTTGGTTTGTTTTTTTTTAATCATAATTTGATTTTCATTGATGATGCATTTTTATGCATATTACAGCTGAATTTAAGAATTATTTTCTTCAACTGTAAAGGGTTTTAATATAGATGTTATAGAAACTTTGACTCCTTTGTCAAGGTTTTCAGCAAGGAACTTTTTGGGCAAGTGGCAGAGGAGAAAGAAGTGGAGGGAATTGTGGGAAAACTGTTTGAAGCAAGAAGCAGCAAAAGTTATGATTCCTATGAGATTCTAGCAAAATTTATCAGCAAGTCATCTCTGACCTCATTGATCATACCTCTGAAAGAGGTGAGTTGTGACATGGGTTGTCAATTTGTTTTATATTAGTTTAAAAGTAACTGGGTGTCATTATTTCTCAAGCTTGCCTTGTTAAAAGTTTTTCTGTCATATTAATCTGGTTTGATTTTAAGCTGCCATCCACCATGAAAAAATATGGCTTGGAATTTCCTGACCTCCTCACATCATGACAAATTCAACCCCGTGTACACCCCTTAAGCTGCTTATCTACAGGCACAGGATTATTTGGAACTACACTATAATTGCACTGATACTAAATTCCCACATAAGTTCAACACCCATTACTGAGTGGGTAATGTATAGGGGATTAGAAAGTGATCTGTGAGGATGCAGCAGCGATGATTGCCAATAGTAGGTCACTGATCTATGCAACTTGGCTTTACCCTACACCATCAGTAGATGGAAGGGCCTACTTTTGTCCTTTATTAAACCAACAACCAGAAGAAAGGCTATGGCTTTCAGGACATATGCACTCTCCCATTTACATTTCATTTTTCGACTTCATTATTCTTATAGTTTTCAGTAGCTCCACCTCACTGCTACCTTATTTATAGCTGTAAACCTTGGCACTACACAAGGTTCTTTAAGAGCAAGCGCATGATGATAGTGTTGCAAAAAAAAAGCTCCATATTTAAGAATCCTCCAAACTACATTTATTTTGGTAAGGTATGCCTATGCATTTAATTACTTATTGGCGAGTTGTATCCTTTCCACAGTGACTATATAAAAAGAGGACATTGGTAGGAATTAAATGATGTTTATGATGGTCTAAATCTTCACGCTTGGCATTGATACATCAATTCTTATCGTATCTGTACCAGGAGAAAATGTTTCAGCTGGAAATATGACATTTTCTAAGCATACTTTTTTCACTGAGTTTCATGCAAAGGCATTGTGACTTGATCAAGTCAAAAACAACATAACAAGTCACAAACCAAGCACCTGCTGTTTTTGTGAAAACTTGCACTTATTGTGCCAAACAGGAAATCCTCTAAGACTGGGTTCCCATACTTAGATTGGTCCACCTGGATCGACCTAACTCCCTGGGGAGTCTCACTAAATTGCTATCAAATAACAGGCTTTTTTGTCTGTCACACCTACCGAATCACCCCCTAACAGCTTTACTAGGCGTGACAGACATTTAAGCCGGTCAAGTTGACAGCAATTTAGTGAGACTCCCCAGGGAGATAGATCGATCCAAATATCTGTGGAAATGGTCTCTTAGGCTCAGTAACAGTGTTAATACAATACTAAGCAACCTTCCGGGTAAGCTTTACCTCATTATCTCACTGTGTAAATTATGCCGTGCCAAGATAAGCTGTTTAATAAAGCATTGATCTCTACCGGTTCTCTAATTGAGCTCATATTACCATTAGCCTTAATTGCTTATAAGCCGGAATAAAACATACGCAGTATTGGTGATATCCATTTCCAGTATCTAAATTACAAAGTGTATATTTATATATCCTTTTTTTTTTCAATTAATATATAAAAACACCATACTACTGCTATTGGTACTTAATGGTTACTAGGCCTAATCCTTGGAACTATGATTATATTTTTTCTGATGGATGACTTTTTTGTAAAAAGGACATGTAAAATCATAGGCAGTAAGAATAGTCTTCCTGTTTTCTTTTAAAAACCCCATTCACTGTCTATAGTGAGCAAAGCTTCTTATTTTCAAGACTTAACTCATCATGCAGTTGTCACATTGTAAGTTTGTTTGCATCTTTAAAATGATCCTTGAGGTGGCTTCAATTCTTTCAGGTCCTTGACTCCACACACAGTCACAAAATTTCCAAGAAAGTCCAAGAAGTCTTAAGAAGGGTCACACTGGGACTCATTGAGAATAAAGAACTGAAAGAAGAGACATTGCTTATCTTTATACATGGTCTTGCCAATGAGGCTCTTCCATTAATCACTCCAGATCAAAAGTAAATACCTTTCTTTTTAGCAGATTTTTTTGTTATTTTTACAACACATTTGTATCTTAATGTAAAAGTAAGGGGAAATTTGCACTTTTATTAATGTTTTATTGGTATAATTTCTAAAAGTATAGTTATTAAAGGGATTTTACAAAGTAAGGTGGCCATTGGGCATTTTTAAACTCGATGATATAAGTTTGATTTAAGTTTATTTGTAATTTCAGAGACAAGTCAAATACGTCAAAACCTCCACCAGACCCACGTCTCCATCCTCCAAGCACATTTTTGCTCACATCTGCTCCACCACGTGGAGGTATCAAACCATCGGGTAACCAAAAGACAAACATGCACATCTTGGTTGACTTTGGGCTACAGGTATGATTTGATGATTGATGTTACAGTGGCTTATACATCAAAAATTGACAAATATGCATGGATATATGATAACCCACCTTAAAACTTATCAATAATTTTTTGTCTGTTATTGGTTTTAAATTATAACAGTTAACAAATTATACTGTCACTTTTTTTACATATGAAAGGTATATTAAAAGCCAGACAGCTTTGTCAAAACTGTTACATTATATTTGAAACATTTCCATACCATTTCCAGTTGTTATACATGCTACTGAAGAGATCCAGAGTAGTGGCTAGCAACACCCAGAACTTACAGATGTTAGACCCATTCATAGAAATATTGTCAAACTGCCTGTCTTCAAAACATGTCAAGGTATGGTTGACACGATATATTAAATTCCTGTTGTCTGTAACTTTTCAAACAGGTAGTTACTGTAGATACAAATTTTGATAAAACAATGTATATGAAATAAATGTATATTTATGTATGAAACAATTTTTCATATGGTATTCTGAGCCTTAAAATGATCTGATGGATTTCACAAATTAGTGCAGAATATTGGTATCTGATTATACAAGGCTAGCATGACTTGCTAAAAAAGGTATAATAATTTGTGACATTTCAGATTGTAACCACATCTTTGCGATGCTTAAGCTGGATGCTGAAGTTTCCCCTTCCTTCTCTGAAGGACCATATTACCAAAATCACAAATCAACTGTTTGTTCTGCTCAAGAACTATGCCACAGCAGGGGGAGCTCAGGGGGAGAACTTTGAATTGGTGGTTAGCTGCTTTAAGGTAAAACAACATAGGCTGGCCAGTAGGCAGGGGGCTGGATTGGGGAGGGGGACGGGGAAGGTCAGCTCTGAATCAAAATTTGATCTGTGTTCTTCGAATTCACAAGGGTTTCACAGTAAAAAGGCACATTTTCCAGAAAAAGACACTAACCCCCCCTTAAAATTGCTATCTAGAGACTTGGTTTTGGGTGCTGGTTTTCTAATAACTGAGAAATCATTTATGGGTTGAATTAATAGAGCATGGTAGACTACTTTTTATAATGACTTATCCTAGTTGTTTTTAGTTTTTGTTATAGCCCATATGTAATAAGGAGAAAATCCAGAAAGAATTAATTATATGGCAGCAAAACAAATATTAACTAGGGATGCTATATGGAGGTGTAATCCAATTTCTTAAGCCAAATCCCATTGAGGTTTCCCTAAATTTGATCAAATGATTTATTTTGAACACATATATTAGGTAGAATAGGTCATTTTGAACAAAGCTGCTTGATACGTCTGTTGATATAATTGTCTCACCATTAAAATGTTTGCTGCTGATGTTAAATTGCTTACTACAATTCACATAATTACAATGCATTATTAAAGTAATTTTTATCAAATTGTGAATAGTATAGTTTGGCACAGATGTTTACATTTGAAATGTTTTGCTTTAAAAAGAGTAATAAATGTTGATAGCTGTTTGTTATATTTGCAGACAATAACTGTCTTGGTGCGAGATGTAAAATTTCACAGTGTAGACACCAATCAGCTTCAGATCTTACTGGGCTATGTAGAGGAAGACATGCATGATTTCAACAGACAGGCAACAGCTTTTGGGCTTCTCAAAGTAAGTAACATAAATATGTGAATTTTTGGAATTTTTCATAGTTATATCCTAGCTGTTTATCAATGCCTTAAGGTGCAAAGGCAGTTATGCATGTTTTATTATTGTTTCACTTGCTGGCAGTACTCATTTGCAATATTTAAAGAAGCATGTTATTAGGTACAGATGACTATGAAATTACATAATACCATGTAGTATTTAATGTGAATTACATATGTGATAAGTGTTAAATGGCAGATGATCAGAATGCTTTGTTCAGATATAATGCAGTGATATTCTTTTTGACAAAAAACAATTTAGAAAGGTTTTAAAAGCTGATTGTTTTGCAGGCCATCTTATCAAGGAAGCTACTTGTACCTGAAATTCATGAAATTATAGGAAAAGTAGCGCAGTTATCCATAACTGCAGATGCTCCCAATGTCCGACTTCAGAGCAGACAGGTAATTTTTCCTTTTGTTGATTTCTTTTAAATTTCTTTATCATCAGATGCATGATAATTTGCATGCTCACTAATATACATTTGATTGAAAAATGCTTGAATATTTTTTATATTTGTGTCATTCTTCAAGTTGCCCTGCAGGATTGCCAAACAAAAAGTTCATTTTTACCATGCTTTGTTTATAATATTTTTGTGCATTGCATATACCCCACAATATTTGAATTATAATATATTAAATTACTAAAAGATTAAAATTTGTTATGTGTGACCAATTTTTTTTCTTTTTTTCCCCTCCAAATGCAATATGAATAAGCTGAATGAAGTAACCAATTAGATTTCACTGTATTCTTATTTTAATTAAGAAATTGCCTTTTATAATGTTGCGATGATAAGTCTACAGTTCTGTAAAATATAAGATTTGGTTCTGAAGTCTGTGAAAATTATTGTCATATGCTGCTCAGCAGAAAAATATTAATGGGGATATGATGATATTCACATCATGCCTGTTATAAATTCTAAACAGTACTTTCATATTATCATGTTGGAGAGTTGATAAAGTATTTGACCAGCATGTATACATATAAAGTGACATGATGGTTGAGATGTGTGTGGTTCTTTTGTGGAATTTTCAGCTTTTTAAAATTATCTATTTATTATTATTATTATAGATTTTAACTGAAGTTTAGCTCATAAAATGTAATGAAAGAGTCTCTTCTATAAAAAAATGTTATCTTATTTCAGCAGATCATTATTTCCTAGAATACATGAATACTTGAGTACTTTGTTTTGTTGAAGTTAGCTCTCTCTCTTTCTACATATATTGTTAAGAGACCACCTTAATAATCTCATTAGGGTGTGTGAGTGTACTGAGGGAGGGTAGTGACCACAATTAAGGTGTACTTATATGTCAAAGACGTCATCACAAAATAGCCTTAATTAAGTTTCAAGTTTAGCCTAGATCTGAAACATGATATAACTGCCTTGATTATACTGCCATGTGGCTTAGGGTAAAGATGAGTCACATTTTGTACCAGATGAAGTAGATAAATTGGGGTCAGTTCTATGTTCCGAAGGTTTGGTATTTTAAAAAAATAATGGAACCTTGGTAATCCAGGTGAGCACTGACCTCCATGTTAGAGAAATATATTTAAGAGTCCGACTCACATTTGCATTTTTTTTTTTTTTGTGATTTGCACAGATTTTACACAAGTAATTTCTTATGATAGCAACTAAGACCCCATTTCCATAGATTTTAGATCGATCTATCCCTGTGGGGAGTCTCACTTGATTACTGTCAGCTTAGCCGGCTTAAAGCATCTGTCCCGCCTACTGAAAGCTGTAAGGGGGTAATTAACTATGGTGCGCGTTCGGCTGACTGCAATTTAGCGTGAACCCCCAGGGAGTTAGGTCGATCTAAATCTTAATCTCTGAATCGATCTAAATCTCTGGGAATACACCCTAAGTGTGTAGCTCATCCTACTATGCTTTGTTGTATGTATGCTCAAAGCCCAATGACTATATCAAATAACTGTTGCTTTCGCGAAGAGTGCTTTGACTGTTACAACATTAGCACCCACTAGTGATTTATTTACTATACTTTGTTTGCTATATTGCTCTATCTGTACCTGTATGCATATTGGAATGGTCAACCTTTGCCGTAACATAGAATATTAAATTGCATTTTTTACATTACATTTTAAGGTTTTTGGCTTGAAACCTTTTTAATTTGATGTGCTGCAACAGCATTACTGAATCAAATACTCTGCTTGACAAATCTAGGACAACATATGGTGGACACCTGCATTTCACAGTTGTCATCTTTTTATGTTTCGACCTTAAAAACCACCATTGCAATTACTTCGACCTCATCCCTACCCACAAATTTCAAGGTATGCTTACAGGTTTGAACATTTCCCGGCGCTATTATTATATTTTCTATATGTCTGCATATCCTGCAAAGCCACATAATATTTTCCCATTCCCAAAAGCTCCTGGTGTCATAAGTTCTTGCTGAAATGTACACAATGTCATACTTAATGACTGGCCAACCATTTTGAACTAACTTATTGAAATTTTTAAAATGTAATAAAAGGGTCGAGCACTGATCTGGGAGTAAGAAATTTTGTTTTTTATTTTCCCCTACAGAAAAATTCATTTTGACAGTTAAATCCCAAACAGTACCTTTAAGTGCTTCCTTTCTAACCTACAAACTTCCTCCTTAACACTCGCCTACACAGTTCCTTACATAATATTTTACTGAAGCCACTGTATCAATTTGCAGTTAATTTAAACCATGGTAAATCCTAGGTCACCCTACTTTTGCATAGAACTGGTCACTACTAATAAATTGCAACTGCATTTGATCAATAAATTAATTCAATAAAATTCCAAAATTGTATTCTTCATTTGGAAATTCCACAAGAACTAAATGAGTTTTTGTAGTCAGTGAAGATTACATTTTCTAATTTATTATTATTTTATATTGCATTTGTGTATGTAATATATTTATATATTCAATCATCTATAAATTGTAGGTTGTTCTTCAGTTTATGTTGGATTATCCTTTGGGTAAACAACTGAAAAAGCACCTAGAATTCTATGTGACAAATTTGCAGTTTGAGCTAGAATCTGGACGTGAATCTGCCTTAGAAATGTTGGCAACCATATTTTCCAGTTTTCCACAGGTTGGTTAGATTGTTACAAATACTATATTTACCTCACATGACAAAGAACTGTTATTATTAGTTATTTTACAAAGTTAAACCACTAACTTGTGTAATGGATCATTTCTACTGACATTTGTTGGAAATTTTCAAAATTGAGAAGATTACATTATTAATACGAGAGTCTCGTTTTATGCGAGAGTATATGCGCACTTCTTTTTGTCGAGCGAGAACAGCACGTGTTGCCAGAAAATGGCACAAAACTCATTGAATATTATGGCTGATAAGGTCAAAAATAGACCAAAAGTTAAAAAAAATACCACATGAGCACAAAACCTTCCAACAGGAAGTCAAAAGTAAGTGGTGACGCATCACAATTTCTAACACAGAATCAAATATTGATGCAGAGTAGTCTTTATGTGAGAATTGAAAATGGTGCGTCAACAATTATGATTATGACCTCTTATTTATATTAGAAACTCCATAGAATTTCAATTAAATTTCAATAAATCTCATTAAATTTTTTAATGAAACCTCATTATTTGGTAATGATCCATTAAAATGTTGCACATTGCAATTAGGAGTAACTCTAGAAAGGAGCCATTTTTTCATGACTATAAGATTTTGTGACCTTTGTTTTGGAATAAACATTTACATGAGCATTATCGTTTCAGAATATCCTTACTGAACATGCAGGCTTCTTTTTTGTACCAATGGCCGCCTCTCTTGTCAATGATGAGTCTGCACAGTGCAGGAAGTTAACTGCTTTGGCCATCAAGTCTTTACTGTCAAAGGTATTAACTAATGCCATGGATTTAGGGCATAATCACCTCTCAATTCTCCACTAAAATATTTTTTTATTAAACTTAGTTTCCCAAAATGCTTCTTGGATTTATTTGGTTTTCGAAAGAGGGTTAAAGGTTAAATTGATAGACCTTCCCATTGTATAAAATTAGGTCCGTGAAATAATGTCACCTTTGATGGAGGACAGCATCTATTGATGTTTACACTTGTTTGAAATAGGAGTTGCAAAGGACCCCTACACAAAATTGATTGTATTGTGACATTTGTCATGCAGTTTATGTTTATGTTTTAATTGTTGTTTTAGCTTAATTTCCATGCACATTTTTTCATTTTTCAGCTTCACAGTGACCAGAGAGATGAGTTATTAAATATTACCATGCTGTGGTTTCAAGATGAGAAGGTAAGAATGGGGACCCAGAATTTAAGGCAAATATGAATTTAATTTTGTTACATTTTTTAATATTTGTACATGAAGTCACCAGAAAAAAGATAGTTGAATGTATTGGTGCCTTTAACATATTGCGCTTACATTTGTGGTTAGGTTGAGTATACACTTTGCTTTTGCCAGAATGTCTCCTGTTCCCTTAATGAATATTTGACATTTTGTTTTGGTTGTAAAAGATAATGCAGTCTATGATCTGGTTCTTTGATATACTAATTAACAATTTTTTTGCATGCAGTGAGCCATCTTTCACTCAGTAATTCAAGTTTACTATGTTCACAAGCAGCATTATATTCAAGATCAGGATAAATTATCTTAAGAGCTCTTTCTTGAGACTTTTCTACCAGGGCAGTCAATTCATTTGTTAAACCAAAGACCCAGACAGGGGCAGCATATTCTAAAACCGGCCTTTAATAAAGGAAGAATTTCCTCGATCTACAGCTAATATTGACAGCTGATATTACCTCCAATATTTCAATGTCTATCAGATCATCTTCATCAGAGAATAGGGCTATCAAGGTGAATATTCTTAGATTGTTTGTTTAGCTTACAGCTTACCTAAAGATATTTTGACTGCCTCCTTGAAAAATACAGAAATTAGTTTATGGTAGAGTATGAAATATGTTGCAAAATTACTGTATATTTTCCCAAGAAATCATTTTTTACCCAAGAAGATGTCATTTACTAGGCTTGATATCACCTGATAAATTACTACAGTTAGAGAAACTACAATGTACATAAGTCTGCTGATCTTCTTCTTACATTTGCTGACAATTATTTAAGAAGACTATTAAAAATAGTTTTTTTTTTTTTTTTTTTTTTTTTTACAAATGAAACACAGGAGACTTGTTACCTCCTGTTGAGCCATTACTACACATACCAAATTACTCTTGGCAAGTAAAAAATAAATGTCAAGGAAAATGCATGCTTATTGAATGGTGTATACCAGCCAGCTTGGCACCAGATCTCACTAAACTAAAGCATCCATTTTGTGAATTAAACCCTTTGAGACTACTGGCAATTTTCATGATAAACATGCTTCAGTATTGGTGCGTACTTGAATGTGAAAATGGACACGGTGAGCATCAGTTTTCCAAGTATTCAGGGCTATGTCTGAAATGGAGGTTGCCATCAATGGCAGCTGCACAAACACAAAATGCCTTAGGAACTCCTGTCTAAGAGACCATTCTCACAGATATTTGGATCAATCTATCCCCCTGGGGAGTCTCACTTGATAGCTGTCAGCTTAACCAGCTTAAATGTCTGTCCCGCCAACTAAAAGCTGTAAGGGGGTAATTAACTTTTGTGCGTGCTAGGCTTCCGGAAGCTGACAGCAATTTAGCGTGAACCCCCAGGGAGTTAGGTCGATCCTAATGGATCGATCTAAATCTGAGGGAACCCAGTCTAATTAAAGGTGGTGATAGGTGTGAAACACCCACGTTTTCTTTGGTGTTTTTCTCAGCTGACAGCTGTGAAGATAACATTTTACTTGGTTTGGTAAGTTTTTGTTTGGTAAGTTTCCAACTCTTAAAATTACACTTTCTAAAAGATAAAGAAATGTCCAAAAAAAAAAAAAAAACATTGCTCATGTTGATTCCTATATTTTTCTGAATTTACAAAGACTGTCAACCTGTTCATTTATAATGAAATCAATGTCATTAAATAAATGAAAAATAATTGCTCATGCCAGGCAAGGAAAGAAAAAAAAGCACTAAGGCCATAAGGCATTCTCTATATCGACTCTTATTATTTCTGAAGATATTGTCACCCTTCTCCCAAAACTCCTTATTTACTGCCTTACATACATTCTTTTGTGTAATAAATAAATCTTTGAAGTGTTCGATGACTGAATTAATCAACATTTACACATGTCATCTCATGGAATTGTAGCCTATTCACTCCTGGTCAACTCTGCCATCTTTTCAATCAATTCATATTTTGTTCTCCTTGTCACGGAGCCACATTTGAATTATTTGTGTTTAATTAGTTACCCGTGTTTACAATCCATGTTAAAGTATGGTGTAAAATCGCGAGCAAGATTAAGCCAGAGTTTAGTAGCACTGATAGCTGGTATGCCCCATTAAATGCAGGTGAAAAAAATTGTTTTTAGTGAGTTCTTTTTTTATAATTGTGGTACTTTTTCTAAAGTTGTTTTATGTTTTTTTAGATTCATTTACCAATCAAATTAATTGCCCAGTATGGCTGAACATTGTTTAACTCAGTATTCATCATACTGAGCATGATCAAATTATGAAAACATTGCTCATGTTGATTTGTGTAGTATTATGAAATACTGCTGTCTTAGCACCTAGACACCTCTAATCAACACTTCAGTCAGCAAGAACCCAGACAGCTTGATATCACATCATGTATGTGTGTATTTCAAATTAAGCTGATTGCCCACATTATTCAGTTTTCCTGTTAGTCAGCTAGCGCAAATTTCTACTGAGATCTTAAGCTGGATTAATTCAAGTAATCAAGTTATTCTAAGGGCTCTAATCCAACTTGAGAAGATCTAAGCTCAGCTCACAATTTCCGACGTTGTGAGTTTTCCCAGAAGAGAAAAGTAATGCAACACCACAGCTTTGTTACCTAAACCAAAAATAATTTATTAGAAGCGTCATACTTGTACCTTGATGCCTTAAATGAATTTACAGTTTTCCTTAACTTTCATTGGTTAAGTTATCATCTCTCTCTGCCTAGAAGTCATGTAGGACTCTACCTGGAACTCTTTTCTTTTTTAGGTATAATTGATTCTAAGTGACCACTCCGGTAACCCACCTGGCTGGGAATCAAATATTATGGCATGGTTTTTGTGAATATATATCAAGTTACAAATAAATCTTGGGGTCAGTTTTTAGAGAGGATACTGTTTGCTGATCCCTAAAAAGCAAAACGTGATGTTAAGTTAGGTGTAGTCATCAGTGTCACAGGTTTTGATAAACTGATAACCTGTTGACAGGTGAATAATTCAGTTCATTTCACAGGAAAAACTTCTCATAACCGCAACACCTGTTGACAGGCCAATAAGCCATCAGCATCACAGGTTTTGACAAACTAATCACCTACTGAAAGGTGAATAGTTCAGTTAAGTTTATTTTACAGTGAAATCTCATTGGTACAACAATGAATATGCATTGCAGGCTAGATGAAAAGCCAGGCAGATTGACCCAATTAGTGATCCATTTGTGGGAAGAATTTGGCAGTTTTTTAAGCAAAAGTTAAAAACTCGTAGGCCCATTTGTTGTTAGATAGTTTGGATAGTTTGGATGGAAGTGAAGGCCATGCATGATAACCAACCTAAGCCAGATGTTCAATTAATTAATTTTATCTTTTCTGGCAGAAAGTAAGGTTGAGTACCATACACAACTCGTAGACTAACACCCTTCAAATTAACACAGGAGATTATAAAATATCTGTTATATTGAATATTCAGTTTTGCCAAAACAGAATTGAAATTTTAATTTATCTTAGGTTGTTTTAAAAATGGCTTGGATTTCAATCTGGTCTGCGACACACATGTATGATAGTGTTGACGCCAGTGACTGAATTAACAAAATCATATTAATAATAATGATAATAAGCTGTACAAAATTAACGAAAATCAAGATCATGCAAAATTGCTTACTGGTCGAAATTCATGGTCCTTAAAAAACTCAGGACGGCCAAACTTAAAATTGTTCAAAATTTAGGAGCCTTTCAAAATTCATGGCACATTACCGTATCCTTGGATACCTGAATGAAGTACCTGTACTCCTATCTGATACATTTGTATGGGTTTTTGTTCAAAGGCGATTCAAGTTATTTGGCTTTCTTATGGACCTTTTATGATTTCTATTTTGAGGCATACATCAACACCAAGCAGAGCAAGGCAAGCACTTTTGCTGTTGTACATTTCTTCTATTTTAGTCTGTCTTGGCCAAGACGGATTCATAATCTTCCATTGCCCATTACATCAGCCCTTAATTTGTTTGTTAGTCCAAGTCCTAATTATGCATAAAAACATAATTTTTATATTTTTAATATTTAAATATTAATTTATATTTAAGTGACTAAATTTTCAAGTTTTTCATGGTATTCAGTGCCCATGTACTGCATTAATCTGTGGCCATTTCATAGTGTCTATTTAGGTGATTATTTGAGCCGACACTCCAAAAATGTATGTATGTAAACACAAGAACAACAGCCAAAGCTTATCAAAATAAATTACTCTTCCTGGAATTAGTGAATTAGTCATATAAGATTTATGTTATTGTTATTACGCAGTAAGTACTGTAGTAAGATTGAGAAAAATGTTTTTGAGTATTTCTGAAGATGATTGAGTTTAATCACAGTTTAGAGGACCAGATTAAATTTGACCACTTTTAACATCGTGATGAGTTATATATTTTTATTTCCTCATCATAAGGATAGGGACTCAGGAAATTTGCAAGTAACTGTGAAAATTTAAAACTCCAACGAGTTGATGGCAAGTGGTTTATGTTGATAGATGATCAAATATCAACCTATGGATAGGATATATCTTTGTGATAATGAGAAAAGTGATGTCATTCTCAGTTTTTTTCCTGTTCAAATGTCTTACTTGAGCACATTATAACTTTCAACTGACTTCTTTATAGGGATTTGATTTTAATGGCTATGGAAAATATAATAAGAGTATGTTGCTGAAACCCTTTTTCATCTTCTTTGAACCAAAATGGATTCTAGACCCACCTATATGAGAATATTGGGCTTATTTTACAGGAAGTGAAAAATGACTATTTTTTAACAGACAGATGCTATATTTAAATGATTTCTGTAGATTTGTCCTGGATTAGACTGGACTTGCATTCAGTATGGAATTTAAGACCAACTGTCAACTTACGTCTCCTCTGACACAGAGCTCCACTGCTTGAAAGTTTCAAAGATAATTTCAATTTACTCACCAGGTGTCCCACAGGCGACTGGCAGCACAACTTTGTGGATTGTTTACTGAGGTGGAATCTGCCAAATTTGAGCGTCACATGCCCACGGTGCTCCCCTTGATTCTTCAGCAAATAGAACCTGGCAGATATCAGGGGGTTGGTCTGCTTTATATGTGTTCTTTCTGTTTGGTTTTTCCAAAATGTTAATTCTAAGTACCATGACAAGTACACTTTAGAAATAAGCATTTTAAAAAGCTAAAAATGCCTTGTTCTTAATTTTATAAATGTTAATGGAAAAGAGAGCTTTTTTAAAAACCAACGTATGTGATTTACATTGGAATAATGCCAACAATTGCTTCAAATTAATTTGATTGTTATATTAATATGCTGTGAAAAAATTTACCAATTTACTGAATTAAAATAATAAATTGCCATTCTAGAACGAGCCTCAGAGTTTGAAGGAATTGGACCACCTTTTATTTAACAGTCTGACTGCATTGGGCAAGCTTCTCAAAGAGATAAATATTATTAGGAATCCTAGATGGACAGAGGACATGAATGCAATGTGGGGTAAAGTGCCTTTTTTCATGAACTGCTTTATGTCATTCTATCATTGTCATTCACATTGTTATTGTATAAACAGCGTGCGAAATTACCGTCTGCCCGGCGGCCCGAGACCGACTGATTCTCTCTCGGACTGTGAACTTTAAAAACTTTTCTGTCCAGCGGGTCTTGAGCTTTTGGGGGTTCTATAATCACTTAGTGAGCTTCTATTGACTATCATAATCACACAGTGGATAATTTCAACGATAACTTGTGAAAAATACCGTCTTTAGTGTATACAATCTATTTTTGGTGATTTTTTTAGTTTTCTGTTCTGTTTTTAATTTCTGTGTTCCTATTATGTCATCACTCTCTGTTGTGTGTATCATGTGACACAGCAAAGCAAACGACAACAACAAAATGAGCAGTGTAATCTGATTGGCTCACTTTGGAATTTCCATCTCAATCCAGCCAACGGCATTCTTCCTTTCTTCAGCCATTGGCAGAAACCAAAGATATATCCCAAAATAGTCTTGCCAAGCTCAGAACACGCTCTTGGGTGCATGGGAGGATTTTTTTTAAGAATGCACAGATTTCTCGGAATTGAGCCTCCACCACAGAAAAAGCTGAAAACTCCAGAAGAAAAAAGAGACGGTAACAAACTTTATGATAAAGAAAAACGAGTAAGATCTTTTCAACCCAGCTGGCAAACTGCATTTTCTTGGCTCATTCATGACCAATCCAACAATAAGCTGTATTGTAAAGTGTGCAGAAGTGTATATGGACCTTTGGCTGTTAATGGCAAGAAGACAGTGAGTAATAAATTCAGTAAATATGTTGGTGGAACCTTTGTAACTGGGTCTTCAAATTTCAAGAGAGGTTGTTTATCTGATCATGACGCATCACAAGGCCACAAAGATGCACAAACTTATGTGGAAAATAGAAGAGCAAAGCCAGGTGAATCTTCCGCTGAAAAGTGCCTACAGAATTTAAACCAAGCTGCATTTGACAGACTGTCCATTCTATTTCGTAATGCTCATGCTATAGCCATGCACTCCTGCTCCTTTAAACAATTTGTTTGGCTCGCAGACCTTGACGAGGAGAAAGGGTTGACAGTGGGGAAAACTTATAGAAACGATAAGCAGTGCAAGATATTCATCAAAGCAATAGCTGAAGTAGAAAGGCAAAAGATTGAAGATGAATTAAGGAATGCTAAATTTATTTCAGTCTTGTGTGATGGCTCTGTAGATGTCTCAGTGACTGAGAATGAAGTGGTATATACACGCTTCTGTATCAAAGGCAAGGTGTCTGTTTATTTTGTGGGAATGCAAGCACTGTCCAGAGCAAATGCACCTGGGATATATAAAGCTATTATGGACTCACTGATGTTCAAACATATGCCCATAACCGATATTGAAAAGAAGTTGGTTGGCTTTGGAAGTGACGGAGCGAGTGTTAATACTGGCAAACACCATGGAGTCATCGCTCTTTTTCACCAGAACATTTCAACATCCATTGTAATGGTACACTGTATGGCTCATGCCCTGGAGTTGGCCTTCAAGAAATCTGTCAAAAGCAGCCCCCAGGTTCAAAAAGTATATGATAAAATATACTCACTGCTATCAGAGTTATTCAGCTTTTACCATACTAGTTCTCTACAGACCCACAACCTCAAGGATTCTTTTACCACCCTTGGCATATCAGAGGCTTTTCCTCATCGAGTTGGTGGAACTAGATGGGTATCACATCTTAATGGTGCTCTTAATCAGGTGTGGAAGGGGTACAAAGCCTTTGTATTCCATCTTACACAAGTAAGTGTTATAAAACAAGTTTGAAAATTGTGAAATTTAAATAGTTTATAATGTTATCAAATTATCACAATTTATCTCATACAATCATCAGCATCTAATATAAAGTTCATTATCATCACAGCCTGGTTATATATATATTGTAAATTGGGAACAAATTAAAGATCAATATACTAGTGTTAGTTATCACAGGGACACCTAAAGTATAAATTAATTATGGGAATTAATAATTACATATATTCAGGGTGACATTATTTATTATCAGGTGGCAGCTGACTCCAGAAGCCCTAAGCAAGGCAAGGCAAAATATCTGCTCAAACTTCTTTGTTCCAAGCAGGTAATATTATTTGGTCATCTTCTCCACGATTTACTTGGGACAATATCCCACCTGTCAAAAGAACTCCAGAAAGAAGAAGCTGGGATCTATAGTGCACATGAGATGATCAAATCAACCATTGTTACTGTGAAGAAGTACAAAGAAAGGTAACACATTTTGCTTTTGTATTTATCTACATACCTGATGACTGCAAAAATAGTCTAGTATTTGTCTTGTCTTTGCTTGTAGTGGCAGCGCTAACTCTTAACACATAGTTGTCTGCTTCTGTACACTGCAGTATTAAAAGTGTAGTTTGTTCTGTTACAGTGTGTGATCACACGTGTGAAAGCCATGTACATAATTTAGTTGGTTGTGGTCAGGGTTGTGGTTGTAACATTTCAGGCCTGGATTGCAGTTAGTGCAAGTCCTGGACAAAGACGAGTATCAAGGGCACAAACTAGATGGTAGTTTTCCTGGGTTTGATGTAGTAAGGGGAAAGCTAATAGATGGATTAGTGTCATGTTTAGAGGGAAGATTTGATAATATTGAAGCTGGAGTCCTCAGTGCAACTAGACTTGCAGATTTGTCAACCTGGCCCCTTACATTTGATGAAACCAACAATGGTATAAATAATTTTAAAGTAACCAAACCATATTTTCAAGTCAATTTTGAACAGTAAAATATATGTTCTGGTATTAATGGTCCATTCTCAAATTTTTGATGTACAGATATATCAACATACTCAGTAGATAAACTTTACAGATGGGGTTGGTGTGAACTGAAACATTATGAGACTAATTGCTAATCTGGGTCATCTAACTGCTTTTTCAGATTTTGGGGATGAATGTTTGATGACCCTAACCCAGCATTTCAAGGACACCCTCCAGAACCAAGGTGTTGATGTGCATTTGATTGATCCAGAATGGACATTTCTAAGGACAACTCTGTACAACAAGTATGTTAAAATGCTATTTTTACTAAGTTATTTCTAAAACATATTACTTTAAATTAACAGCTTTATATAAATATCACTGCCCCGCATCTGATATCATGTAATGCCACTTTAGAATTTGGACTATCTTGTTCATTTTCAGCCACAAGATTCCAGACATGGACTGGGTTAAAATAAATGAAAACTACCATGACAAGTGCCCCAATCTCTTGGCAGTCATTGATCTGATCTTGTCCCTTCCAGCAAGCTCAGCTATGTGTGAGCGTGGCTTCTCACACATGAAACAGACTAAGACTGATTACAGAAACAGAATGCACTCCTCAACTTTGACCAGTCTGCTTACTATAAAGCTCCACTCTGTAGATGTCACCAAATTTGATCCAAAGCCTGCTATTCATTTTTGGAATAATGCACCAACCAAACACAGAATGCCCAATTTCATGGAATCTTTGCAAGGGCATCTAGAGGCTGCTACTGCTGAGGCTTCTGCCATGCCCTCAGATACAGACCAGGCTACAGATGGTGATCATGACACAGCCCATTTTGAAAGTGACTCTGACGACTCTTGCCTTGGATCAACCTCAGACTTTTCTGATTTTTCTGATACACTTGCATTAGAAGACGCATGTGCTGATTTGTAAACAGCAATTCACAATCAAATGTACACTTTATGGTCCAATGTACATAGACCAAGTATGATGTCCATCAAACAGTTTAACCTTTAAGTGTTTTCAGCTTAGTTTTTGTTTGTCACAGAAATGACTTAAAGATGCCAAACAGGAGGAGGCTACCCCTGAAAAGGTGAAAATGTATGATTGCAATACTGTTAACTGTATGTTTGAATTGTTTTCAAATAAATCTTTACACATGCTGTAATTGTTTTCTTCAATACGTTTATTGATCATAAAGTAACCCCCCCCCCCCCCACTGAATTTGCAGGACCAGTAACATTTTCACAGGACCAGTAACTTCAGATACTTCAAGGTCCTGTGGACCTCTGCCAACTCTACAAAGGTTTCACACACTGTGTATAAATATTGTTATTAACTATTTATACCATTTGCATCCATAGAAATGATAAATCCTCAATGTGTTGAGACAAAAAAAAAAAGATAATCTGCATCAGTTGCTCACTTTGTCATTTTAAGGCTGTAAGTATATTCATGCATTTTTATTCAATTTCAATTTTTTTATTGAGGTTGATGATGCAGTTATTGGATTTTATTGGTAGAGGTTGAGGTGTGTGTGTGTGTGATAAAGATTTTTAAGATGATGAATATAAGGTTATGGATATAGACCCATGTTTATTTATTTAATTATTAGATACTGAGAGTAAAAATTATAGTTTGTGTACACCTTTTCTTTCTTTTCAGTGAGCATACAAAGTCACCTCCTCCACCCCCATACCTGGGTGCGACTGGCTACAGCAAGACTCTTTGGGCTTCTTTTTGCTGCCTGGACACCAGAAGAAATTGCGCAGTCTGAGGGTGTTAGGAAACCCAAAGCTAAACCTGGGAAGGTAGAGGAATATGTGCAGCAAGATACAAGACAGAAGGTAATAATGCATTTGCAAATCAGTAATCAACTTTTTAAATTCATCCTATTAGACTTGTGTGCAAATGCATTGTACTTGAACTTTGCATATGGATAGTCTTATCTTGTTCCTAAAATTACACAGTAAAACGTAATCTTCTTAAAAGTTAGAAAAAGAGGAAAATTATAGTGATCACATAGTGATCCAGATCTTGTTAATTATAAAACATGGACTACAATGCAGCCCTTATGGTGGTCTTCTCTAATATGTTACAGTGCTTTGAAGAGGTATCATAATAATGTTTTAGATTTCATATTTATGGTGAGAAGAAGAGTGGCCAGATGTGTACATTTAAATGTGTACATTCAAATTTCTTCAATTTCCATGCTGCATTTTTCAGTTAAGAGAGCTTTCTATAGCATTCTGCACTCAATTACAATCTTCTTATGTGGATCAAGAATTGGCAGACCAGGTGAGAGAAAAATTAACAAGTTAGGTGAGAGAAAAATTAACAAGTTACTGGATCAATATATTATGAATGTGTCATAGTCATTTTCCTTTAAATACATTATAACACTTATTTCTTTTGTTTGAACAAATATTGGTTTTAAATGATTATTATGCCCATTGTTTGAAGTTGCAACTGCCATATTTCATGACAAAGGCATTTTTTTTTTAATATTTAGCCAGTGATATCCCAAAATATGTCCACAATTCATGCTAACTTTTGAGGTTACATCTAATGGCATCAAATTTCAGGTTGTGAAGAATCTGGTATTTTTAGCTCAAGTCATTAAGCTTCTTAATCCCCCTCTGAAGGAAAAACATCGGACTGTTGTTGATAATTCTGATGAAAAGCCAACAGATTTGAAGTGGCTGATCCGAAAAATGTGCAGGGAAGCCAAATTTGAAGCTGCCCAAAACCAAAAAAGTTCTCTCAAGGTTTGTTATGATAAATGGCAGCAATTGATTTTCTTTCAGAATGATGATGTGGTGGTGGTGGTGGTGGGGAGGGGTGTATGTGTGCTGGGGGTGGGGGTGTTAAAGGATCAGGAAAAGAGCATCTTAGCCAAGTATTCTGAATATGTCTGTTTAAGTTTAAATGGATCAATGAGGAGGCCTCCTCTGTTATAAGTGTCTGTATATTTTCAAGCAGTGCTGTGTAGTCAGCTATGTAAGTTGTGATTTTCTTGAAATTATTACAACATAGTCCTTTGTCTTTTAAGTTGCTAGTTTGTAAGTTGCTGTAAAGTAAGGCTATAATACCTATAGAAGATACTCAGTACAGAGCTTTTAATATTTACATGAATGAAATACCTTTTTTTAGTTTTTGCTTCATTTTGTTTGCAGTTGCTAACTTCAGATTTTGCCTTTTGNTATCACCGGCCTTAAGCCAAAGTTTAGTAGCACTGACAGCTGGTATGCCCCGTTAAATGCAGTTGAAAAAAATGTTTTTAGTGAGTTCTTTTTTTATAATTGTGGTACTTTTTCTAAAGTTGTTTTATGTTTTTTTAGATTCATTAACCAATCAAATTAATTGCCCAGTATGGCTGAACATTGTTTAACTCAGTATTCATCATACTGAGCATGATCAAATTATGAAATACTGCTGTCTTAGCACCTAGACACGTCTAATCAACACTTCAGTCAGCAAGAACCCAGACAGCTTGTTATCACATCATGTATGTGTGTATTTCAAAGCTGATTGCCCACATTATTCAGTTTTCCTGTTAGTCAGCTAGCTCAAATTTCTACTGAGATCTTAAGCTGGATTAATTCAAGTAATCAAGTTATTCTAAGGGCTCTAATCCAACTTGAGAAGATCTAAGCTCAGCTCACAATTTCCGACCTGTGTTTTCCCAGAAGGGAAAAGTAATGCAACACCACAGCTTTGTTACCTAAACCAAAAATAATTTATTAGAAGCGTCATACTTGTGCCTTGATGCCTTAAATGAATGTACAGTTTTCCTTAACTTTCATTGGTTAAGTTACAGTATCATCTCTCTGCCTAGAAGTCATTTAGGACTCTGCCTGGAACTCTTTTCTTTTTTAGGTATAATTGATTCTAAGTGACTACTCCGGTAACCCACCTGGCTGGGAATCAAATATTATGGTATGGTTTTTGTGAAGATGTATCAAGTTACAAATAAATCAGTTGTTAGAGAGGATACTGTTTGCTGATCTCTAAAAAGCAAAACATGATGTTAAGTTAGGTGTAGTCATCAGTGTCACAGGTTTTGATAAACTGATAACCTGTTGACAGGTGAATAATTCAGTTCATTTCACAGAAAAAACTTCTCATAACGACAACACCTGTTGACAGGCCAGTAAGCCATCAGCATCACAGGTTTTGACAAACTAATCACCTACTGAAAGGTGAATAGTTCAGTTAAGTTTATTTTACAGTGAAATCTCATTGGTACAACGATGAATATGCATTGCAGGCTAGATGAAAATCCAGGCAGATTGTCCCAAGTGATCCATTTGTTGGAAGAATTTGGCAGTTTTTTAAGCAAAAGTTAAAAACTCGTAGGCCCATTTCTTGTTAGATAGTTTGGATAGTTTGGATGGAAGTGAAGGCCAGTATATGCATGATAACCAACCTAAGCCAGATCTTCAAGTAATTAATTAATTTTATCTTTTCTGGCAGAAAGTAAGGTTGAGTACCATACACAACTCGTAGACTAACACCCTTCAAATTAACACAGGGATTATAAAATATCTGTTATATTGAATTTTCAGTTTTGCCAAAGCAGATTTTGATCTTGCCTAGTCATATTTTAATTTGGCCTATACAGAATTGAAATTTTAATTTATCTTAGGTCGTTTTAAAAATGACTTGGATTTCAATCTGGTCTGCGACACACGTATGGTAGTGTTGGCGCCAGTTACTGAATAAACAAAATCATATTAATAATAATGATAATAAGCTGTACAAAATTAACAAAAATCAAGATCATGCAAAATTGCTTACTGGTCGAAATTCATGGTCCTTAAAAAACTCAGGACGGCCAATCTTAAAATTGTTCAAAATTTAGGAGCCTTTCAAAATTCATGGCACATTACCGTATCCTTGAATACCTGAATGAAGTACCTGTACTCCTATCTGATACATTTGTATGGGTTTTTGTTCAAAGGCGATTCAAGTTATTTGGCTTTCTTATGAACCTTTTATGATTTCTATTTTTGAGGCATACATCAACACCAAGCAGAGCAAGGCAAGCACTTTTGCTTTTGTACATTTCTTCTATTTTAGTCTGTCTTGGCCAAGACGGATTCATAATCTTCCATTGCCCATTACATCAGCCCTTAATTTGTTTGTTAGTCCAAGTCCTAATTATGCATAAAAACATAATTTTTAAATTTATTTGTCTAATGCTTGGCAGTCCTCTGGAGTTCACCTCAATTTTGTTCAGAGGGAATTCCCTCAAAACTGCATGGAATTAGTTTATCACTCATTGTCTTCTAGTACAGAGGAAAAAATTAAAAATTTACACCCCATTCTCATAGATTAGATCGACCTACATTGGATCGACCTAACTCCCTGGGGGTTCACGCTAAATAGCTGTCAGCCGGGCGGACACGAAAGTTAATTACCCCTTAAAGCTTGTAGTAGGCGGGGACGGACACTTAAGGGGGATTATCTGACAGTAATCTAGTGAGACTCCCCGCGGTGATAGATCGATCTAAAAGTTGTGAGAACAGAGCCTTAGTCAGTCTTGAAAATTTTGTCAAAAGACCATTTGCCCCCTACCTAATTTCTTTCACTTTGAAAATTGGGACAAACTTGAAAATATGTCTCTCAATAATTTTGAAAAGTTCATTACCTTATATGGCCCTGTACGATTCAGGCATTTAAATGTTAATTTATATTTAAGTGACTAAATTTTCAAGTTTTTCATGGTATTCAGTGCCCATGTACTGCATTAATCTGTGGCCATTTCATAGTGTCTATTTAGGTGATTATTTGAGCCGACACTCCAAAAATGTATGTAAGTAAACACAAGAACAACAGCTAAAGCTTATCAAAATAAATTTCTCTTCCTGGAATTAGTGAATTAGTCATATAAGATTTATGTTATTGTTATTACGCAGTAAGTAGTAAGATTGAGAAAAATGTTTTTGAGTATTTCTGAAGATGATGGAGTTTAATCACAGTTTAGAGGACCAGATTAAATTTGACCACTTTTAATATCGTGATGAGTTATACATTTTTATTTCCTCATCATAAGGATAGGGACTCAGGAAATTTGCGAGTAACTGTGAAAATTTAAAACTCCAAAGTGAGTTGATGGCAAGTGGTTTATGTTGATAGATGATCAAATATCAACCTATGGATAGGATATATCTTTGTGATAATGAGAAAAGTGATGTCATTCTCAGTTTTTTTCCTGTTCAAATGTCTTACTTGAGCACATTATATGCCTTTCAACTGACTTCTTTTTAGGGATTTGATTTTAATGGCTATGGGAAATATAATAAGAGTATGTTGCTGAAACCCTTTTTCGTCTTCTTTGAACCAAAATGGATTCTAGGTTACCCACTTACGTATATGAGAATATTGGGCTTATTTTTCAGGAAGTGAACAATGACTATTTTTTTAACAGACAGATGCTATATTTGAGTGATTTCTGTAGATATGTCCTGGATTAGACTGGACTTGCATTCAGTATGGAATTTAAGACCAACTGTCAACTTATGTCTCCTGTGACACAGAGCTCCACTGCTTGAAAGTTTCAAAGATAATTTCAATTTACTCACCAGGTGTCCCACAGGCGACTGGCAGCACAACTTTGTGGATTGTTTACTGAGGTGGAATCTGCCAAATTTGAGCGTCACATGCCCTCTGTGCTCCCCTTGATTCTTCAGCAAATAGAACCTGGCAGATATCAGGGGGTTGGTCTGCTTTATATGTGTTCTTTCTGTTGTTTGGTTTTTCCAAAATGTTAATTCTAAGTACCATGACAAGTACACTTTAGAAATAAGCATTTTGAAAAGTTAAGGGCCTTGTTCTAAATTTTATAAATGTTAATGGAAAAGAGAGCTTTTTTAAAAACCAACTTATGTGATTTACATTGGATAATGCCAACATTTGCTACAAATTAATTTGATTGTTATATTGATATGCTGTGAAAAACTTAACCAATTTTATTGTTTTCTGAATTAAAATAATAAATTGCTATTCTAGAACAAGCCTCAGAGTTTGAAGGAATTGGACCACCTTTTATTTAACAGTCTGACTGCATTGGGCAAGCTTCTCAAAGAGATAAATATTATTAGGAATCCTAGATGGACAGAGGACATGAATGCAATGTGGGGTAAAGTGCCTTTTTTCATGAACTGCTTTATGTCATTCTATCCTTGTTATTCACATTGTTATTGTATAAACATTGTTATTCACTATTTATTCCATTTGCATCCATAGAAATGATAAATCCTCAATCTCTTGAGACAAAAAAGATAATCTGCATCAGTTGTTCACTTTGTCATTTTAAGGCTGTAAGTATATTCATGCATTTTTATTCATAGACTATCAATTTCAATTTTTTTATTGAGGTTGATGATGCATTTATTGGGTTTTATTGGTAATAAGGTTATGGATATAGATCCATGTTTATTTATTTAATTATTAGATACTGAGAGTAAAAATGATAGTTTCTGCACATCTTTTCTTTCTTTTCAGTGAGCATACAAAGTCACCTCCTCCACCCCCATACCTGGGTGCGACTGGCTGCAGCAAGACTCTTTGGGCTTCTTTTTGCTGCCTGGACACCAGAAGAAATTGTGCAGTCTGAAGGTGTTAGGAAACCCAAAGCTAAACCTGGGAAGGTAGAGGAATATGTGCAGCAAGATACAAGACAGAAGGTAATAATGCATTTGCAAATCAGTAATCAACTTTTTAAATTCATCCTATTAGACTTGTGTGCAAATGCATTGTACTTGAACTTTGCATATGGACAGTCTTATCTTGTTCCTAAAATTACACAGTAAAACTTAATCTTCTTTAAAGTTAGAAAAAGAGCAAAATTATAATGATCACATAGTGATCCGGGGCTTGTTAATTATAAAACATGGACTACAATGCAGCCCTTATGGTGGTCTTCTCTAATATGTTACAGTGCTTTGAAGAGGTATCATAATAATGTTTTAGATTTCATATTTATGGTGAGAAGAAGAGTGGCCAGATGTGTACATTTAAATGTGTACATTCACATTTCTTCAATTTCCATGCTGCATTTTTCAGTTAAGAGAGCTTTCTATAGCATTCTGCACTCAATTACAATCTTCTTATGTGGATCAAGAATTGGCAGACCAGGTGAGAGAAAAATTAACAAGTTAGGTGAGAGAAAAATTAACAAGTTACTGGATCAATATATTATGAATGTGTCATAGTCATTTTCCTTTAAATACATTATAACACTTATTTCTTTTGTTTGAACAAATATTGGTTTTAATTGATTATTATGCCCATTGTTTGAAGTTGCAACTGCCATATTTCATGACAAAGGCATTTTTTTTTTTATATTTAGCCAGTGATATCCCAAAATATGTCCACAATTCATGCTAACTTTTGAGGTTACATCTAATGGCATCAAATTTCAGGTTGTGAAGAATCTGGTATTTTTAGCTCAAGTCATTAAGCTTCTTAATCCCCCTCTGAAGGAAAAACATCGGACTGTTGTTGATAATTCTGATGAAAAGCCAACAGATTTGAAGTGGCTGATACGAAAAATGTGCAGGGAAGCCAAATTTGAAGCTGCCCAAAACCAAAAAAGTTCTCTCAAGGTTTGTTATGATAAATGGCAGCAATTGATTTTCTTTCAGAATGATGATGTGGTGGTGGTGGTGGTGGGGAGGGGTGTATGTGTGCTGGGGGTGGGGGTGTTAAAGGATCAGGAAAAGAGCATCTTAGCCAAGTATTCTGAATATGTCTGTTTAAGTTTAAATGGATCAATGAGGAGGCCTCCTCTGTTATAAGTGTCTGTATATTTTCAAGCAGTGCTGTGTAGTCAGCTATGTAAGTTGTGATTTTCTTGAAATTATTACAACATAGTCCTTTGTCTTTTAAGTTGCTAGTTTGTAAGTTGCTGTAAAGTAAGGCTATAATACCTATAGAAGATACTCAGTACAGAGCTTTTAATATTTACATGAATGAAATACCTTTTTTTAGTTTTTGCTTCATTTTGTTTGCAGTTGCTAACTTCAGATTTGCTTTTTGTGCATTATGTGCATAACATAATTGCTTTGTTTTTATAGAGGTCTAGCGTTTTAAGATGGTTAGCAGCTGTAGCTGTGAACCTTGGACGGTCTGATTTACCCGACTATATTGAACAGATGCTGCCTCCTATATATGCTGCCTCAGTTGACTCTAGTTTGCAAGCAGGTAGGTACAATCATTATGCTTTTTGGTGAAAGTTTACATGGTCTTTATCTAGTACACCCTTATTTTCAGAGCCGTTCTTACAAAAACTTAAGACATGTATAGTCTTTTTTGTGGAAGTGGTCTTGAAACTTAAGCTGACTTACTAAATTGTGTTGTACAAAGAATCTGCAAGGCCGCTCACCTCATTTGGGTGCATTTACATTTAAGATATCCCAACCCTTCTCAGTCTGCAATTCTGCAAGTAGTATGATTAAGTTATCTCACTATAGGCAGCAAAGGTAATCTTTTTGCTTTCCTCAGTATGCGTGTGTTGTCCAGTTATGGTCTGGCTTGCATGAGTCTCACTTGATTGGTTCCATTCAGCTTGACATGCATCCTTAAAAGCCCCTATTATCTATATCTATTATTTAGTGTTCATGAAGCATTATCCTGACTCTCTAATTTAATTCTATTTCATCTTTTTTTAACCTAAAATAGTAAAACAATTTCCATTTTACATACATACATACATACAATAATTGAATAAACTTGATTCATTTGATATTATCATTATTATTATTGTGTTTTAGATCCTGCTTTAAAAAGTCTTGCACTAGAGATCTTAGAATTAATGAAGAACACAGTGGGTGTCGATGTGTTCACCAGAGCTTACAGCACACTGCACAAAACTACATCTGAAAGAAAGGAGGCCAGAAAACGTCAGAAAGCCCAAGAGGTAATGCTTCACAAATTGTGTAAGACTGTTTAATAATGCATACCGTTTGGAATTCTTGCAAAAGTTTTCAGCATGTTTACAAAGACTGTTTATTTTGTTAAGAGATTCCATTTTCTATTTTTAAGTGACTGAATTGCATATGGTTGCTATACATGTTCATTCTGTATGTTTAAGCTAGCTGCCATTTGAAAAATAAGGTGACATTTAATGTGTTCTATTAAATTTAAATTTTAGGCAGTTTCGAATCCTGAAGTTGCTGCTAAAAGGAAAATCAAGAAACATGTTGCCAAAAAGGAAGCTAAAAAGAGAAAAATCCAGGAGTTTCGGCCTTCAAAGCAAGTTAAGAAAAAGAAATTGCAAGACATGGCAGTTATGGAATAAACTGGAAAAAAAGACGAGCAATCGGCTTATTTTTCAGACAGAAAACTCATTAAGAAAAATTAATGTAATATGATCATCAGTGATTTCATTTCATGTTTGATTTAGTTCACAGGAGTAGAATAGGATTTATCATTTACGTCCTTTCTTGGTCTGAAGCCATGTGTGAGGCAAAATGGATTACTGAACAAAACAGATATGTGCTGAACTCTGCGAACTATATACTATTGCCATAAATCACTTCTACTCTGTTGGCTCACTCCCATGTATTTGGTGACCATGTAGTCTTGACATCAGATTCACTTTTTGAATTTTGTCAGTTTGTGTTTACCGGGTAGATCAATCTGTATTTTCGTACTGTAAATAAAAACAGGATTGCTGCATTATTCAGGAAGTGACCTGTAAATTGGAACCTATTTAATTTAATTTGAATATAGGGTGAACATAGGGTGGCCAACCCACATGAATGCTTTCTGCATAATCCCTGCAGGAAATCTAATCAGTGTCTAATCGGGAATTATTAGCTGCAAGCTTTTTAGTATGTCGCCATGTTTGATCTGCGGATCTGTTAGACTGCTCTTCTGAATACACTCAAAGATAAGGACTCCAGTAAGTGTTGGACTGTTTATAGTGACTGGTCAATAATTTTGATCTTAAGACCTTAATCAGGATAAAAATTCATTTCAAGGTCTGATAAGTGAATTGTAGTCAATTTTGTTATAAAACATTTTTTTCGTTTATAAAATAAAACAGTATGTTGAGGGGCATCCAATATAAAAACTGGTTATATTTGACTTCATATTTTTATTATTTCCAAGAAAATGAACAACATTAACAAGGATGTCACTATAACGAAGGGGAAGATATGTTACAAAAAATGTCACTCACAATTCAAATTTAACATTGAAAATTCCCCTGCTTAAGCTTAGCCACATTAAAAAAAATACCAAGTAAGGATTTTAAAAATGCACACTTATGCTGTTAAACATTATATGATAAAAGCACCAAATGATAAAATTCAAGTATATTTATGAAATTATGATTATTTTTCCAACTAGGAAGGCTGGAAGTAGCAAAGAAATAATTTGACCTGCAAAAAGTTACATCATTCACTCATTTTTTGAGAAAAATAACTTTTGAATGGTTAGAACATCTGAATGGCAGTTTTGGAGTTTACAATGCTCATGTAGGGATATCCGATACATGATATCCGGACTTTCATTTTAGTTGAATTTTTAACCAGCATAATATTGGGATTTATCTTTTGCAAGCTCCCATTATAAGTTACATAAGTCTTGACTCTATTAACAAAAGTACCATAAGTTTCAGGGCAAGAAAGCCAACTTTTCCAGGAAAAGAACAAGTCCCTTCTTTTGAAATTAATGCCTTCATGCACAGAATAAGTTTATTTCCCCTTTTCTCTTAGATGTGACCCTGCGAACAGTGCCATTTGGTATGGTTTAGAACTATGATTCAGATAGTCAAAATTCTAATTTCAAGAGGGGACCATTTGTGTATTTTTTTTTTTTTTTTCAGAAATCTAAGTTGGGGGTCAGGACCCCTTTGACACCCCCCTAAATATGCCACTGTGATCAGGAAGACTATGACTTATTTTACACCCAGAAGTGAATATAAGATCACATTACTTCTGTCACATTTTCGTATTAGAGATTATGAGAAATAAAAATGGCAAAAAGTTCAGTTTGAAAAAGTGATGTCACTCGTTTGCATATCATTTTTGTCTCGCAAGATAATAAATATGCTTATACTTTATAAATTGTGCAATCAGTGAAGATCGAGATACAAAAAAATTTATTATATATATAAATCTTAAATTACATTGCATTGAAAAAAATGGGGCCATAGCAATAGTCCCAAAGGTTTATTGGTCCGAATGTTCACTATAGAACCTTCAGACCAACGAACCCTTGATTAAAAAACTGATGAAAATGCTATGATTTTACGGACCAATGAACCTTCAAACTATCGAGACGCCCCCCCCCCCCCCCAGGTGCTCTAAGATACGTGTGCTACTCTACCCAAAGGGCAGCTGAGTGATGACGTCATTCATTAATTCTGTGCAAAATAAGGCTTGTATATCTCTTCGCGGCCTTGATAGTGGGTTTACTTTTGGTATGCCAAACCCTTTGGGTCCGTACTTTATTGTTACGAGCTCAACCCAAAAATAGAACAACCACGTGATCGGGAATTTCCAATGACGTTTTTTCCACGAAAGATTTAAACTGTCAGTGCAGTGCTTAGAAATATCCGAAAGAAAAATTGTCTGAACTATAAATAGAACTAAAACTTAATGTTAGTCCTTCAACGAGGGTAACTGGATCGTAGGACCAATACATGTAGTTGTGCGTTCACTGCCGTTTATTTCTGCCAAGGAGTTCTCTAGCTCCTTGTTTCTACCTACCGAAACTGACATGGCGGAATTCCGACCTCTAGATGATGAGGACGTGGAAAAACTTTTGGCTCAAATTGAAGAAATACTAGAAATTGCCAACAAATTATTACAGTTGATGCCGGACAGTGCGCCTCCACCAGCAAAGATGCTCCGTAAAATAATTGAATTTTTGAATACCGATGCTGGAAAATTAGCGACGAAGGAATTGTTGCCCTACATAGTGAGAGCAGTTTGTTACGTTGATAAATACATTCGACAATTGGAACTTTTGCAGAATGCAAATGCGTTTTTGCAGGACCTTTTTGCTGATGAAGATGTGTTGCAAGCGATCTCCACAGATCTCAGAAAAGCTGAAGGAAAAATTCAAGTGATCGAGAACCGAATGAACACCTTGGATGAGATACTGCATAAGCCCACCAGTGAATGCAGACCCCTGAATAACCAAGAAAAGAGAAGCTTCACCGCCTTGACTATTCAACTAGATGCTTCACTTAAGAATTGTCAATGGGATCTTGACCATCTTAGAGAGGAGATACTTGAACTTGAAAAGAAAGCAAAGGTCAAGTCTGGTGCAAGTAGATTTGGGAAATGGGTTTCGTTTGCAGCTGGTGAGTTTTTGGTTCATTTGTAATTATGACATGGAAACCAAAAAATGTTGGTACCTGCCCAGATACAGGGGTACAATGTCATTTTGATTATGGCTGTACATTGTGGAACATCTATATAACATCTCCCAGGGTAATAGTCCTAACTATTTATCTTTCTGTTTAGAACAAATACATGTAAGAAATTGGCATAATATAAACAGAAGATCCAGTGCCATTTCATTTTAGTTACCCACTGTCAAATCATTCGAAAAGGCATCTTATAACTATTCAACTATTGTACTACAGAATGAGCTTCCAAGCCATGTACTAGTAAGCTATTTTTTGGCAGAACAAAAGATTAATTTGCTTTATGACATGTCATGTCGACCTTATTTTGGTCGTATAAGGGTGCATTCCCAAAGATTTAGATTGATCCAGAGATTTAGATTTAGAATGACGTACCTCCCTGGGGGTTCACGCTAAATTGCAGTTAGCCGAGCGCGCACCATAGTTAATTACCCCCTTACAGCTTTTAGTAGGCGGGACAGACGCTTAAGCTGGCTAAGCTGACAGTAATCTAGTGAGACTCCCCATAGGGATAGATCGATCTAAAATCTATGGGAATGGGGTCTAAGAAACTAATAGAAGTGGTTTATATGTGTTAATGGAAATCCATGTTGCTTTTTATGTATCTTTAAACACTAATTGAATAAATTAGTATTATAATATCATTTGACAAATCATTACTAGTAACATTTAATTTATAAATATGTTATAATATGCTATACTTTTACATTGCATGTAGTCAATTCAGCTTTGACATAATTGAGTCATTACTACTTCTAGGATGTTGAAATGCATCGTATATTTGCTGTCTTTACAGGTGTATTGGCTGTTGTAGGTTTATGGACTAAGTCTGACAAGCTAACAACAAATGAGAAAATTGGACTTGGTGCCACTGCTGCAGGATGTGTAGGACTAGGATTGGGGATGCATGTGGTTGGAGAAGTATGAATACCCACACATGAATCAGAACATAACAAAATCATTGACCTTCTGTCTTATTTATTTAATTAATTTTTTTTTCCAAATTTCAAAGAATGCATTTTTAATAGTTTGGTGAGCAGGAGAAATTTACGATTGAACCCAGAGAAAACTTAAATAATGTTGTTTTTTGTTCCAAAATTACTCACACTGTGGATCTGATATCCTCCACACCAAATTAAAATTGAAAAGAAAAAGCACCAAAATCTTAGGTTTGAAAAACAAAAATGAATTTCATCTACCAACCTTGCTTACAGAGATTGCTGCTCATTAAGGGGCCCGCACACGGTGAGCATTTGGCGTGTGCCACTTGCGCTGCGCTGTTTTCTCATCGTGTGCGGGGGTATTTTGGTGAGATTTTTGCCTCTCGCGCGGCTGAGCAAAATATCTCACGTGTTTGATATTTTTGGTCTCTTGAGGCAAATGTCTCAGCGTGTGCGGGGTGCAAGCGCCGATTGCTCACGCCATGCCAACAATGCGCATGTGCCATTAGCCGGAAACAAAGAAAAATGGCAGCCCCCAGCGAAGTAAACAAAAATGTACACAGTTATAGTTAGTCTGATTGATTAACGTGGTCACCATTTGCCATTACTTTCAGAAAAAAAAAAGAAATATGTAATGCTTCCTTGATCACATGATCCCACAGTTCGCGGTGCGTCTGATAGGGGCAGGCCAAGAGGCATCTCTGCTGAGCAAAGAGCGCATTGTTTGTGGGGAGCTGAGGAGCGCGAGCATCTGGCGCAGCGCAAGTGGCGCGCGCCAATTGCTCACCGTGTGCGGGGGGCTTTAAACATTTTATCAATTTTGTCTGGCCTAAAAAGATAACAAACAAGGATAAGGGGAAAATAGAAAAAAAAACTTGATCAGCTTACTAGTATTTTCCTAAGGTCTTAAGCCATCTTCTACAGTTTTCTGTCATTGTCAGTGAAGCCATACACATCTTGAAATGTCATTTGCACACCTGCGTGTTCAGCTCTCCACATGAATGATATGAAAAGTTCTTTATCAGGTCAAATCAATTGTCAGATTGCAAATAAATTAACACAATAACATAAAAGGATGTGAGTTTATTACTCAAACTATTGATAGAAAAAAAGAAAGAAATACATAATACCATCAACTTGTCAGAAGCTATGATCTGCAAAAGAGTCCTTTAAGAATCTTTTACTCTGTTTTGCAAGTTATAATTATGTTGGTAGAAATGCTCTCAAATTATTGAAAGCCCATGAAAATTCTTTTTGAGTTATTATTATTATTATTGTTTATCTCCTCTGGACGTCTGGCCACACATCACAATACAGAAGACAAATATAAACTATCAATCAGTGTATATGTATATTGCTTAAGGCAACAGTGAAAACATGGCAAATTAATATTTTGAAGACTGCTGTTTTGATTTTTCAGCTTGTAAGTATTGACATACCTGTAGCACCATCATGAATTTTTATGCCTGAAGTAACATTTCTTATATTGCTTTTGTTTGGTTAGTGTACATTATCTATTGCTCCATTCCATAAAATATTTGAGCTTGTGATTAAATTCTTTTTCAGATTTGTTCTGGATATTTACATTAATTAATGAGACCACAACTAACATACAGGATAATAGATATAAATCAATAATGCAAGTTTGCCTTGATTATATTCATTTTGCTAAGATCTGTTCATCATCTTGTAACAGTAGCAGAACACACAGCCAGAAAGGGGTTTGATTGTAAATATCAGTTGCTTCGACATATACTTGTCTATCCAGTTATTGTTTTTAATCAAATTAATATCATTATATTTTTTATTTACCCAGGTGATGGATCGATACAAGAAACGGTTATCTTCTATCCAAGCAAGGCATGATGAACTTCAGAAAAAACTGGATTCTCTGCAAGAGGTTTCATTAAGGCATCAACAGGCAGAGAAAATCCTCAGCCCTTTTCATGCAGCTCCAACAAATGAGGCCCTTCTCTGCCAGTAACAGATCTTCACGAATACCACATATTAAATGGATCTTATAGATTGATGAATTGTAAACAATGTGCAGATGAATCTTTGAAAAGGTGTCATTGAATGCTAGTGTCTTGTAGAAAAAAAAAGTTCATGTAACACATCCTGACACATGCACACATCATACATTATCTTGTATACATGTCATTTTTAACTGTTCATCACCAAACTCTGTCTGAACAGCTACCAGTAGAGGTTTAAGACTAAGAAACTTGTTTACTATTTTTTGTTCGCCACCGGATATATAGTGCTGTGATGACAACACCTTGACACTTACATGTACACTTTGCTGATGTTATGTAGATCATCACCAAATAAGTTTTCTCTTGAGTCTTTCCACATATCGATTAAATCAAGAGCTTTCCCTGTTATCCGACGTAGCCATATCTGCCTCTTCCATCAAACAACAACATCTGCAACCCTTTTTCAGCTGACGTCGAAAGTCTGCTCTCATCACTACGTATATTATGGGGTCCACAGCATGGTTGACAATTACTAATATGGTAGAACTGAAGAGTAGATCAGAATTTACTATACCCGTAACTTTTTGATGGATAGATGTGGCCTGGATATTAAAAATAATAAAATAATAATAATAATAATAATAATAATAATAATAAGACATAATCAGGCGTTACCTTACATTACATTGATGAGGACATATATTGTTATAATAAATCGGTGCTATCGATAGAGCTATTTTAAGGAAAGAAATGGGAGAAACGGATTATTTGAGATATACAAATTAGTCCTAATATGTTATATTGTTTGTATTGACAAAGCATGATTGTGCTTATTATGTTTCTGTATACTTGAAAGATGATATCAAAAGAAACTTACTATAAACGGCACCCAGCAAACTATAAAGGCAGCGGCGATGACACCAAGAAAATGCGCAAATGCTTTCTCCTGTTTTAGCTGAAATAACAAAAATAACAATAATAATAATAATACCAGGGCACAGATCATCACAATTTACTGAAGTGGTGCTTTTACTAAATATGCTAAACATGGCACATGGTCAAGAGCCATAATATTTATATCTGTGTAACTGTGTTATTTACTGATCTATTTCTTATGTAATTATAGTTCTTCCTCCCTTGTAAATTTGCATCACCTCATATTGTGAAACATGATCCTGGCCATATGTTTCACGATTTGTGTTTATGGTTAATTTATAATCACACCAAGAAGTTGTATCTCACCGCCAAGCTAGAATATTTTATTAGTAAATTAATTCGTACATCTGTTCATTATATAAAGATATATATTTGTTCAGTCACAAACTGGCAACTCAATTACCAACTAGAGAATATTATTATATTTATATTCTACAAGGTCATGGTTATCTATTTACCAGTACAGAAATAATACTAAATAATAATCAAAACCTATATTTCTCGTCCCAGTGTCTGGTTTATTTCTTCCTTGTAGAAACTAGTACAAACATGCAGATTTGTTGTACTTTATATATGTTTTTGATGTTTTATACGTCAGTTTATCTGTGCAGGGTTATTCAGTTCGATTAGCATTAAACGAGTTTTTTACTACTAATTAGTAACACGCAATTGAAAGGCTTTGGTTGATGTTCAATTAGCATAACGCGCATTCAAAACGAACCCATGTTATTAAAAGGAAACATCCTCGAAAACGCTAAAGGCAGCACGCAGTAAACATATGTATTGCATGTAAACCCTTACCTCTTTCTTCTGCTGTTCTGTGGGCGCCACAGTGCGTTTCATCTTAATTAGTTCTTTGATCACGGCACTATTGGCGATAACCATGGTTCCAACCAACGCTGCATTCAATATCATGTACAGAGCGAAGTAAGAGATGTCACCCGGTGTGTTGCTGAATACCAAGGCGTAGAGACAACTGATGCCTTCTTCGGAATATGGATCTGAGATGTAATAGCTGCTCCAACCGAACACGGGGCATAAGCTGACTAAGAACATCGTGAAGGTGCATACAAGGATGGATACTTTTGCCACTCTTGGCGTGATCTTTGCAGCATAAAAGTATGGCCTGACCAAAGCCAAATATCTGTCTACAGCCATTAAAGCACAGATAACACCCGTAGAATTCGTAAATAGGGTGTTGGTAACACCCATTATCTGGCAATATGAAGTGAAACCTGCAATATTAAAAGTAACAGTCAATATTTAAACTAAAAATCGAAAGTAAAATTTTTATACGATCTTTTGAAGAAGGCTATGTTTTACGTGGACACGACATCTTTCTTGCTCAAGTGTTCAGTGTACTTCCACAAAATAACGAGCCGGTATGCCTCTACTTGTGAAAATTCTTCCTCTAATCCACTTTCTTGAAAAAAAGAGTCTATTTTAATGCCTTTGTACATGATATGCTGAAGGAATTATGGTTAACAAACGGACCTACCCAAATACGTTTTAATCATTTTGGATGTCATCCCGCGAAGAGTGTACCCAACAATAGCCGTGAAATCAACCCAAGCGAGAGCCAATACGAGAATGTCTGGTGGCAACTTTGCTTTCTTTCTGTTCTTGGTCAGGACAATCACTGCCATCAAATTGCAAAAAAATCCTGGAAGGGCGTTTGTTTAAATGCATTAATATAATATAATATAATATAATATAATATAATATAATATAATATAATATAATATAGAAATCAAATTGGTAATCTGCAATGATTGACAAGAATACTGAAATATGGTGTAACCAAAATATGAAGGAATTTCGTATTGTTGCAAAAAGGCCTTTAAAATAGATTTGGGGAGGGGAGGGGGGGGGGATTCCCACAAATCCCTTCCGTTTCTTCCGATCTATCAAAACTAGGACGTAATATTCGAATATTGCGTCCTAGATCAAAATAAAAAGTATTTCAATTTTTTTAGGAAATGTCTAGATGAGTGTCACAGGTGGTACAAATAACCTGCTTGCATGTATGGTTGGCCCTCAACAGCTGCCCCCAAGCATTTTTCTCAGCTAACGGCCCTGGTCTAACAATGTGATGAGGTCTTTTGTTTTTAAAAGACCAAGGAGAACAGAAGACCAAAATGCACGGAACTAATCTGGCAATGGCAGTAGCCTATATTGTTGAAAATCATTTGAAACGATTCACATCAACTGCCTGCTGGGTGTGTAAATTTGCTGCTTAAGAAAAGATGATAACAAGTTCAGCCAAAGAATTGTTCCTTGGTTCAGAGAAACCAGATCTTGTTTGGTGGTATGGGTCCAATAGTACGAAAAGCTAGCTAGGACATACGAAACCGCATGTCCTAGAGTCAACCAAGAATTAAACGACAAATACATGAATGAGTAATATAAACTTAAACGCAATCACATTTCACAGTCTGCAAGTAATTTCTTGTCTGTTAAAAAGTGCCTAGTTGATTAAATGCAGATTAAAAGCAAAGAAGTGTTTCAGGGTGCGCAAATTAACAAGTGGAATGGACACCTGAGGTTACATAAATTACGAAGGGAAATTCTATCATGTTTCATATGTTGCAAATTATTGACAGTGGAAATGTGTTTATATTTAGCGACTTAATTAACGCATTGGTATTCGTTTAAGAGAATGTTATATAAGTCAGTAGATAATTCTCATCCAAGCGTCCGAAAGTGTCGCGTTAAAAAGTCTCTTGTGTCTTATTTCTGACAATTTTTCGACTAGTAGCGTAAAACCTTGCGAACAGGCAACTAACTGAAAGATATAATCTTGGGTCCGCAAACAACAGATAAGACAGGGAAATGTAGGATAAATTTTATTTGAATAGATAATGAGAATATATATATATATATATATATATATATATATATATATTGGTTTATTTTATTTTCTTTAAAAAAAAAGCAATTTATCAAAACGTTCCAAATCAAAATTAGACTCATGATAAATTTCATTGTTTCATGATCGGGTTATAATCTTATCTATAAAAATGTATTTGTGATGTAGTATAAATTAGTCTTAAAACGCACGTTATTATGTTATAGATAACCATCATTCCATTCTTTATTTCAATCTAAAAGGCGGTAAGAAAAGAAAATAGTTTATAAAAAGACCGAACATATTTTTACCGATGAGGCATGAGGTTTCGACCTTTGGTCAAAGAGCTTGGATAACATGACCGACTTTTTGGAGAATATTTTCTTTTTTAACATCAGTACACAATAGACTGGGGAAAACCAATTTCACCCCATTTTAGTGGATTTTTGTAGACAAAAGACAAGTTGTGTAGCAGGAATTTTTTATTTGGAAACAACATGGATAAACGCAATGATGGATAAAATAACTGATGCTTTAAAATATCAGACGATTGATACATGCGTATATATGTAATGCTGGTCGAAAGGTACACAACACTTCGATTTTTGGCAAAATCATTTAGTAACAATTAAACATGGCATTTCAATATGAGTTCAAACTTAAGTTAAGTGGCAACTGCGCTTAAACAAAACGATCATCAGTGGCAATTTTAAAGGGGGAGGGGGATCAGGGGGGTCCTGACCCTCCTTTGGTTTCTAAAAAATATATCACGCCAATATACTCCTCTTGAAATTAGAGTTTTGACTGGCTGAATCATTCTAATCCGTACCAAAGGACACCGTTTGCCCTCGAAAAAGATTTTGGGGCCCTTAAGCAGGCCCCGAACCCAACGCATAGGGGGATATGGTCGGCATCGCATCCGAGGCCTGTCGTTCTGGACCCCCCTTCATATAATCCTGGATCCGCCCCTGCTCATGCTACCAACCGATTGGCTGTAGAAAAGCAATCAAAACAGCACCTTTAGATTCAATAGCGCTTGTATTTGTAAAGAATATATGAGCTAAGTTGCAGCAACAGGTACATTAAGTTACACTTTTTTCGATGATTTGATTTTCCCAACAAAACAGGGAGTTTGATGGTGATGATGAGCTGTCACATCATCTGATAAACGTGTATAAATATAAAGAATACGCAAACGTATTTTTTTGTTTAAAGGTTGGAAATGCATTGCAAAATCACGACTAGATGACATTTGTCATTAAGTGGATAATCTTCTGTATGATGCGATTAATTGAACGTTGCTGTCAATATTTCGCCCTCAGCATTTATTGATTCCAAGGCCATTGTTGGAAATCTTACGTTGGTCATTTCATTATATCTCCACTGGTGAACTGCAGTACTCTCTCAAATTTCGGTATAGAATAAAAATGCCTCAAAGACTGTAAATTGTTTGGATAGTAGGTGAGTAGGCCAAATGATCTTGATAATCCATTATTCAGTTACATGATATTTTGAACTTAAGAATTGGTTGGTAAATTTCAAACGGATATATTATTATGTTTAAGTGATTCAATTTTTTTTAATGTTCTTTTTAATAATCTACAATTTTCTTTAGTAATTAATTGTCGCACATATTAATTAGTAGTAGTCATGCGAAACTTAACGTCACGAAAAGCTGCTGAGGATAGTATAATGTACGTGGTTGTAAATTCATCCACTGCATTATGCACTATTACCTGTATTTTCTCAAAATGGCAACCACAAAAATAAAATTTGTAAATTCGAGTAATAAAGAGTTTGATTTAAACAGGCGTTTGAAAACCACAAAAAAAAAAAAAAAAAAAAAAATTAATAATAATAATAAA